CCCCCCCCCCCCCCCCCCCCCGTACTCCCACCAAATTTGAACGCTCTAGGACCACGGAGATAGGAGTTATGAATTTCCGGTCAGACACACACACCGACACACACACACACAAACACACCGACAAACCAACAGACACACTTAGCCAATTACAATATATAAAGGATTTTTTTTTTGCTGCTGCAATCCCTTATTTCATCTCTATCACAAGAGGCTGAAAAAAGTGAGCTATTTTTGATGTTATTAAGTTTTTTTTGTTAATTTATGCTTACGAGTGAATGAATTGTTGCTTACCGCTGTCAGCTATTCGCACCAGAATCCACACATACGCAATGTCAAGCGTTGTATAGCTCGTCCAGACGCCCCATTCTTCTTCGTATTTCTGGACTCATTCTCGTCCAGCCCCCTTTTTCAACTTTTCGAAGACTTCTTTTTAAACACCGATTCACGCAGTTTCACCGCCTTCATTGGAAATGTTCTATTATGTTCCATTTTTCGTCATAATCTGGATTACCCAGAATTATCGTGAACTGTGCCTTGAAGGACGCCCCCCCCCCCTTTGTATGGATGACGACGGCTCGCCAGATAGATACATCACGGCATTAACTGTTTTTGTAGAAGAAGATCTCACAACAACTTTAGCGAAAACCGGATTGGCTGCGTGGATTTCTGCCCACCGCCTCCAGTAGTTAATGAGTTTTTCCTAATTGTGAATGCTATTGCAGTAGCACTAGCAGTAACAGTGGAATGATTCCTTTGCGTAGTTTTTCCGTTAAAAGAAAGTATGTAAGTAGAAAGCCTCACACACGCTCCACTACTTCGTCAACGTTCGCCGGAATAGTGTCGTTGACTTTCTTATTCTCTGAGGAAGCTGCTGGCTCCAAGTTCTTGCGCAGACATTTCAGATATTCATCGGTCCTCCTACTACGAAATGCGTATTTCCAGTTGCCTACGCTCGGCAAAGAAGGCGCACTAACAGCAGTTGAGTCCAGAGTTGCCTGCAAGAAAAATGGTAACTCATGACCACATTGCACATTGGTTTTCAAAAGATATGGAAAACTAGAGGGCGGAAGTGGTGTATCAGCAAGTGGCGCACTTCACCTACGCATGGTCACGGGTTCGATTCCCGGACCGATACTCGCCTAGGCCAGCCAAGCCTTCCATCCCTCCGGGGTCGGTAAATCTGTACCAGACTCGCCGAGGATAAAAGCAGTGATCTGTATATCGGCGCCACATCAAGTCATTGTGTAGGCCACATACGTATTCAGTACGCCACTACGATTCTGAATGGAAGCCGAATGCGTGGGTGGATCAACGCCCCAAAAATTTATCCTTTACCCTCAATGGGAAACTCATCAAAGCCGAAGGAAGATTTCGGAAAGACCATCAAATTTGAAGCAGTCTTCCCAAATCTTTCAGTTTTCGTAATGTACTTCATAGACAATTATCCCTAACCCCTTTGATGTAGTGGCTGTCTGCTTTGCATTTGTATAAAACCCGGATAGCAAAAGAAAATTCTTGCTTCCAATCAATCCCGCATTCTACGTCGCCCAGACTTCCACTTTCATTCAAAATCTTCGTTTGCTTCAAATTGTAGAAATGTCTAACGGTCATGCGAGTGCTAATAAATATCCCAGATGAGACTTGAACATTTCACCGACCCCGGAAGAATTCACCTTTCTTCAGCCTGGGCTGGTCTTAATAGCTGCCCTGAACAAACGTTACGGTGTGCTCAGAGGACAGGATAAGAGGGACTTGACCATAGAGAAGACCTTTGTAATAATTTGAAAAGTTGTAGCAGTTAGTAGTGGGGATTTCTGCAGTTTTTTCTCCTAAAACTTCAAAATTACGGGTTCATCGACAACAACGTGGTGAAAAACATGCACAAAATAAAACGGAACTAACTCGAGCAAAGTCGTCAGTATTACAATGATCGTCTTGACAAAAACATGCTGCGATAGCTTCATCACTGGGGCCCCAGAATACACCGCAAAATCCTCGGAACTGAATAGAATGACAAAAGTCACTGAGCTTTTTGATGGTCCTGACGACAGGATAGCTGAAAATAGAAAAACGCCCCTGGTTCAACCTAGGGAAACATCTCCGAGACCATTACTATCGTGAACGATGCCTTCAATTGGTAGTCGGAATAACATCTAGCAACTAGTGATAAGAAAATAGTATTTTCCTGTTCGAAACGAACCGTTGTTCAACGATTGACTTTTCTTTCTCGGGTGAAACGACAGTGAGCAACAAGCGAAATGCTAGCGACTGGAGAATGCTAATATGCGCTTCTTACCATGGACGGTCTATCGACTTGAAGACTATCGTAGAATATCTTGTGAGATGCACCACAGCTATTGACTTCATACAACACGCAAAGATTGCCCTGAAGTTTCCTATTTAACTGCTTTCAAAGGAGTAGCTAAGAGAGCTTGAATTCTACTCTTCATTCGCTTGATGTCTTTTTATTAAAGGCTTAGTTTATGACAAAATTAGTTTTTGATATTTCCATATATTATAGAATGAACCCCTGGCCCCTACGAATAGCATAAGGGACAGCTATGCTATTCTTCGAGCAGGTTCGAAGTTTGGCGTTTTTCTCATTCTCGTTTTTCTCATTTCTCGTTTTTCGTTTTTTTCTGAGTGAACCGGATGGTTCTCAAACATCGTTAGAGTACTATGTAACTTATGCTCAAAACCCTGACACGGATGCACTGGTCACCCAGTCGCCGACGTTAGTATAGCGCAGGAAGAACAGTGGAATCGTTCAGATGGCGCGAAGTTCCGAATGAGCCAGATGGCCGGTGACTTGTGAAGGAGATCCGACTGCTGCCCACGCTGCATTCTGCCGTCATACCAAATATTCCTTCAGTCGTTGTCCGTGTTCACGGAACGCCCTAGATAAGAGCGTAAGACGAGCTTCCTTGGAAAAGTGTATTATCGATTTCAACTATCGCCAGCCCAAGCATTCTTCATAAACTGTGCCTTTGTTTGATCGATCGGTAACCTAAACTTTCCTGCTTCAATGAGTTCCCAACTATGTCTCAGTTTCCGTAGCGCTGCTTGAAAAGGGAACAATCAGTCGCCAAAACAAGGATTTGAAAGGAATCGTCCAACCACCTGAAAACCCCTCTCATCCCAGTTAGCGATTTCATAACCCGCTCATCGCCGCTGGGTACAGCTGTGGGGATATACAGGGTGGGCCAAAATTATGATTACAGCGCGCGCTGACGTTCATTGCAATTTTTTTCTATGTTCATAACAATTCATTGAATTTCTTCCACTTCACAAAGTAGCTTACGTTATTACCTTTCTAATGATACTAAACTTTGGGTAGATTTTTAACATAATATAAGCGTAACTAGTCCGTGAATTAAACGTCGCTTTGCATTTACACACACTTTTGGCACGGTGCATCTACAGACGAACTAGCGAAACAAGGCAGGTATTGCATTCAACCATAAGACGCTCTCGAGAGTTGGGAACAATTGCAGATAGGAGTGGTGAACCTAGGAGAGCTGTGGTCATATTTAGGGGAAGTGTCAAGAAAGCAGGGCAAAGGTCTACGTAGGAACAAAATTCATTATGAGTCCAAAAAGGATAAATGAATGGATATGTCACGAAATTTTCTGCATGAAAT